CTAATACTTGGTAACATAAAACTCTGTGAAGATTGTGATATTGCAAAGATGTTGGCACAAGACCATCTGAACTTCTAACTAAATAGGATAGGAAGAAGTCCCGAACGGGGAAGAAAATGCGGAAGTCATTGAAGAATTATTAATTACTAGATCAATTAAAACAGTAATTGCGCTTCAATTATTATTGTATTTCTAAGACATAGAATCACAGAATCAAATTCTCATAGAGGGAAAAAAAAAAAAAAAAAAAAAAAAAAAAAGCACTATTGCCGTTAATGAGTGAGGCAATTAATTGGTTAATTAGTTATTGAGAATCCTACCTTGGATACATAGCTTCATCTGTTATTCATCTGTTTATAGCTAGGCAGTCCAGAATTAATCCAAGGTAATCCGTTAAATTGAAGCACAAACTGGATTGCAGTATGACACACACACAAAAATTGAAGGAAATGCTAAGTCCAAAAATTAAAACACAAATTTGTAATTCCGGTTCTAATTGTCCGATTGGCACAAAATTTCAATCCTGCACTCCTGGGATGTTTTAATGAAGAACGACGTTGGAACTAACTAAATCCCTTGGTTAGAAGCCGAGATTGATGAATAGTGTTAATTAGTCCACTACCAAATTTTTTTCGCAGGAAGTGAATTCCTTGGGGAAGTTGAATCATTCAACGGTCGTTTTTTAACGGTCGAACCGTCGAAGCCTGTTCTGATACACGTTTTGAAACAGTAATTAATTCATAATTAATTATGTTCTTATCGTAGCGACGTCGAACTTGTACTGGCTGAAGTGGAGATTTCAAGCTACAGGTAGATACCAGTGTAGAAGGCCACAAAGACGGACAGAGCAACGAAAATGGCTCTTTACTGTAGTTGCAATTAGTAAAAATTTGTAAATTCCATAAGTAATTTTCTAATCATCATACGAACATAAAACTTATATCGACGTATTCCTTATTGCATAAGCTGTTAGTAGCAACTGCTTCTGAGAAGATCCAATGATTTTTTTTCCGCTGTTATTACACGAAAGCACGGAGCACAAAAAAAAAAAAAAAAAAAGTTTTAAAAAATATAGAACTATATAAACTTACGCAATCTGAAATCAGCGCTTACGCTAGGTTTGTTAATGGGTCTGTTAAATGGGAGCGTTTGCTAGATTTGGCGCTTTTGCGCATACACTTTCGCTGCAATTTTCTTACGGCCCTCAAAACAGAATAGTACCAGACTAACATATGCCTAGTTAAGACTATTCACCGCATAAGATATTTTCTCCCTCCTTTCAGCATGCCTTCGTGGTGTAACGGTAACCTGCATCGCTATTTCGCTACCGACTTATCGCGTATTGGAGAGGTCCAAATTCAAGTTCCATTTCTCATTTTTCACGTCTTCCGCTTCAAAGAAACCAAATGACTTTACAGTTGCGCCCAAACTCAAAAAGGTGGTGGATGATGATTCTTCACCGCCAGTATTTGGCGACTGGGTCCCCTAATGCCCAGTTGCCCTTTAAAAGGGGGAGAATATAAGGTATTTTCTCCGTACTTCCAGCATTCCTTCGTGATGTAGCAGTAGCAGACTGGGCACGTATTCGAGAAGTCCAGGTTCGAGTGACGGCGAGGGCATTGCTTATATTTTCACCTCTCTGGCAACCAAAAACACAATGACTCTGAAACCGTAACTAAATACTAGTTTCAAGAGGGTAGCAAATGCATATTTTTTTTATTGTTCAAAAGTCTAAATTGTAAAATTTTTCCAATTTAAAAGCAAGGAATTAAAAGGCAAAACATTTAAAAATTTTCTTAAACATTTATTTTTAATTAAGACACAATAACACGCCCAATAAATACTAATTCAAAAGTCAAACAACAAAAATCAGCGTTATATTTTCACAATTTTCACAGGTCTAGTTTCGATGGTTTTACCGAACCACCATCCTCAGCTGCGAAACCGCAAATGAACAAGATAGGAAATAATGATTAGATAAGATAAAAAAGCCTTCACTTGAATGAGCAAGTGGCGCCATCTGTTGATGAAACCAGAACTAAAACATAATTTCTTTAAAGGCCGAAGGCAGAGATGGATTGGAATTAGGATCGTTAACTAGAACAGAAAGATTTTTTTGAATCTGAAATGCTTCTAGAAAATCCAATTCTCCAATGGAAGATGTTTTTTGAATAATTTTGGCAGCAGAAAAATTGAAAGTGTGATTTTCGGACCAACAAGGTTGAGCAACAGAAGACTTCTGTGTTTCCTATTTTTTAACACATGCCTCCTGTTCCTTCACGCGAAATTTTAAGGCTCTTTTAGTTTGGCCAATGTAAATTAAACCACACTGGCAAGGAATCCTATAAATACCCCAGGAATTCATAATTGTGAAAACTGTGAAAATTGTGAAAATATAACGCTGATTTTTGTTGTTTAACTTTTGAAGTAGTATTTATTTTTATTTTGAAATTAAATAAATGAATTTCAAATTACATATTTTACGAATTTATCATGCTGAAAATATGCTTATTTTAAAATTATATGATATTTAAAAAATTAACTTGGATTTGATTGTACTATGAATACGTTATTGCTTTAATTTTTTACTTAATAGGTTGTGCTTTCTATGCATATTTTATTACATTTCGAAACTAATGTCTAATAACACAATATCAAATCAAAAATGGGTTTTCAAAGTGCATTATTAATTACAAACATAAACAATTTCAACCTCTTAGTCAGTTATAAATTTTTCCCTTTCCCTCATATTAATAGACTCCGCATAGGCATTTGGCAGCTAAATTTGAGAATTAAATAAGTTGCACGTTATAATATTGTGGTCATTAAATTTGTCATCTTCAGCGCTAACCGCAGTAGCGGCTTTAAACAAGAAGCCTTCAATCATTTTTGAGGTATCAGAAATTAAAAATGGTAAGGCAATCAAAAATACAAAACTGAGAGTGTAAATAGTGATGTAGCCCAATATCTGAAAATCGACAATATCTAGACATCTTACAACTGATTCCTCTGATACTAGGGATAAGGTTTAGCGACGCTGATTTCCGTACCGAAGGTCCGGGGTTCAAACTCTGGAGAAGGCATGAATGTTTGTTAATGTATAGTGTCTGTGCGGCATGGGGGCACTCCAAATATCCGAACGAGCGATGTCATACTATCACCTGTATGGTGCTCAAGGCTCTTGCCAACGGCAGGTGCAAATTTGCACGATGAATTTTATGGGCTTGCTCTGGTGTTGTTGTCAGACATATCGTCTCGCCTCATATTTAGAGTGCCCCCATTCTGCACAGACACTATACATGTAAAAACATCCGTGCTTTCTCTGGGATTCGAACCCGATCCCTTCAGTACGGCAGTCAGAGTTACTAAGCACTATCCCGATTGGGCAGCTTATTAAATGTTAATATTATTTAATATTTATTTATTATAATGCAAATTTCGTTAAGTAAAGATTGAAAATTTATTACGAATTTTTGTCAGACAAGAGAGATAAGTCACAACAACAACACAATAGAAAAGTGAATATGAAAAACGATTCTAAAATTAGCTTTAAAAAAATCTTTATTCTTCAGTTAAAAATATGTTTTCCTGTAGTGCGATTCGCTTATCTAGCAATAAAAGTTTAAACTAAAAATTTTTCTTCTGCCCCAAACAACCCATTGTGTCTTTAACCCCTTCGCGCCGACTGTCACGTATACGTGCCAGCAACGAACGCACTTACCTACCGGCCGACACGCAGGCGTGCCAGAGGTTTGCTCCATTCTCTACCGACTGTCACGTATTTGTGCCAGTACTTTGGAACGCTTTTCAAACTATAATTTCTGCCACAAGATGGCACTGTATGTCCATATGGTTTCAGATACATGTAAATTAGTCCTTCTACTCGAAATGAGAGAAGCATGACTCACATACACGTGTTTTTGATTATATAAACAAACGGGGAACTAAATGTTTCCGAATGGCGTGATTTATGACGTCTCTTTAAATCGCACTTTATTCGCACGTGGTAGTTGTTTACTGTAAGTAGAGAAGTTTTATTTGCTCTAAAGCGTTGGGTATTTCGGTTTGCAGTTCAGTTTTTTAGAAAATAATTAGATCTTGTTAGACGTGAATTCTTTGTTTTTACCGTTGCAATGTCGAAGCGTCGAAAATGTTTAACAGAGCATGAATTTTTTATATTCACTTTTCGTTTGTGTTGTTGTTGTGACTTATCTCTCTTGTCTGACAAAAATTCGTAATAAATTTTCAATCTTTACTTAACGAAATTTGCATTATAATAAATAAATAAATGATGCAAAATATTTCAGATATTGATTCTGAAATTCTGATATTCTGATATTGATTCTGAAAGATTAACTGAAAGACATTTTCCAAAACTTTGTTCAGAAGAGACTGATAAGAAAATGAGACGACGATGCTTCGTTTGTTCACATTCCCGGAAAAATCCTCCAAAACGGCAAATGAGTTATTACGAGTGCAAGGAATGTAACGCAGGACTGTGTGTAGATCCCTGTTTTCAAATTTTTCATACGAAAAGAGAATTTTATGTAATATATTTAGTTTTCAGATGTATAATGTTAAAATCCATAAAATGGTGAGTAATTAAAATAAAATGTGTAAAATATGCATTTAAACAAGAAATAAGGTAATTAAAGTATATATATAAAAATATCTATAAAGCATAAGCCGTTTAAATACTCTATAGAGCATTATTAAACAATGCGTTGATACTTCGGAAATTTCATGGATTTAGGCTTAGTAGCAAAAAAGCCCCCGGCCTTGGAGAGACGCTCGCGTAAGACACTACCGGCCTCAGCGATAAGCGCGCGCTTTCGCTACCCGGCTCGAAGGGGTTAAGTCTTTGTTCGCGGACCGCGCTGTTAACATGCCATTCGTTGATATTATACTATATACTATATATCTTTTTAAATGTCAAATTTGTTTGAGATACTGAACTTATCATCACAAATTTTCTAAAATAGTTTATCTCCCCCCCCCAGAAGTGACACTACTGCCAGCGCCAGCAATTTCCTTTCGTACCATAGGAGGCGTTTTGGATTTCTTTGTCTTTGTTGGAGAAAATCCTGAACACGTGGTGCAGCTGTATACTTCGGTACGTAAAAAACTCACATACCTTCAGTACTGTATCTTTGTTTGGTTTAAATTCAAATTTTATATGTTTTCCTAAAATAGACCTTTTTATTAGCAATTTAGAATAAATGCGTAATAAAGTTTATGCTTATTAATAAATTCTTAGCATTATGCTAAGTTCACTGAATAAAATCGGGTCTCTACACATTTGTCCAATTCTGCACTTTTATCTCAATCTTACAGTTGCTGCCATGACTAGCACAGACCTTGAAAATCTTTCAGCTAAAGCATGTCCTACAACTCTCACGAATATTACCCATTTTATTTCATTCATTTTCTATTACTCATTTTTATTGACAGTTAATCGGAATTAGATAAAAAGTTAAATCTTCCGATGGTAGTTCAAAAGTTCACTGAATCTCAAGAAATTACTGCACGTTGTATTGTACTGTACAAAACATTCTGATGACATTCGTTCTCAACTTCAGTAATTTAAATCAGCGTGTAAAGTTTTTTTGGCTTTAATTAACAGGTTATTTTACCTTGCTATTATTATATCGTCCTTTCTTTATTATGGTTTGGTTTATGTGGTCATGGCAAAGCCTCGAGGGCTATCTGCCTAAGGACAGGGATGCCTTCGTGGAGGACGTTCCAAGGGAAGCAGGTTCGTATACACATTAAACATGGGAAAAACTACGAAAACGTCCATGTAGCCAACCCATTCGCGGGATTTGAACCTCAGACCGAACTACCAGTGGTCAGTGACTTTACCACTCAGCCGCTCTTTGTTTATTATTTATTATGAACCACGCATTCTCCAGAATGTAAACAAATTGATGCACGTATCTAAGGCCACGTGATAATGGTAGAAATAGGCAGCATATTTCTTATAAAAAAAAAACATGGTGTATGGGTCATGCTGCTTTTAGATCTTGCTAACTTAGTTGGAAATGGTAACATGAGCATTAGAGTAAAAATCTTTTTGATAACTGTAAAAATTATAGTACATTTAAAATAAGATAAAAAAATAATATAATACCAATTATTATATTATTTTTTATATTTTTTTTAATGTTATAATTTTTTTTGTATAAACATTAAAAATAATGTTATAACAAATTAATAAAATTAATTAAAATAAATTAAATAAAATTAATTAATGTTATAATTTTCAGTTTCTTTTTAATGTTATAATTTTTTGATTTACTTAAATATTTCAAAAAAAATTTCTTAAGTTTTATTAGTGATAAATAGATTTTTGCAATGTCAGATTATAATCTGAAGTTCACAGTTTGCAACTTTCAGTTTTTTACTAGTACGAAGTAAAGGAAGTACTGTAATAGCGAAAAATTTCGGATGTCATCTTTCAACGTGTATCTATTTTGACCGCTCTCGAGTCCATGTAGACCGCTTTTTTAGCCCAAAGGGACGTTAGACGTTTTCGACTAATAACTCTTGGGGTTATTAGTCTCAAAACGGCATTTTGTGTCGTTTCACTTTCTGCGTTGGTTCACCTTTCAAGCTGTTGCCACCAAATATTAAAGCCCTGTATTATGTTTAAAGGAAATAAATAATGAAGAATCTGCATGAATGCACGAATGTTTCTCGCATTTTGAAAAAACAACGGCACCTAGAGACATCAAATTTTGAAAAACGTAGTCCTCCAACCGAACATGGGCTCTTTGGAAGGCCTAATTTTGAATTTCAAATTTGTTTGATTATGTATTTCAAATTTGTAAAACTTTAAATAATTTTTTTATTGATAAATTCCGATTTCAAAGCGAGGAATGGCGACAGTGTACGAGAAAAAAAAATTATCTCCAGCGCGAGAGCCTGTGTATTGAAAATGCTAAAGATATGCTGTTTTTAAATATTTTGTGATATTGCTCTTGAATTTAATTTTATGTGGTTTAAGCACAAAGAACATGATATTTAATAAATAAAGGTAACGCACAAAACGTTAAAAGAACGCCCTTTTTGACGTAATATAAAATCTGAAAGCTTTAATTTTTTTAATACATCTATAGTTTTTTTTTTTTGTTTTTTTTTAAAACATTTTTGGTATGCTTTTTCTCAGTACATTTCGTGATCGGGTTTACTAATCCCTTTCTAAACTGTTTTTGAATTGAAAATAAAAGATTACATATAAATAACCAGTGCATGATAATCGAAAACTTGTATTAATGCTTATCATTTCATTTTCATAAAAAAAGTGTAGAAATGTTCCTTAATGTTTCCTATATAAGCCATGTTACGTCACGCGATGAAGTAAATCCTGCTTGTTCAACAAATATTCGAGAAGGATTTCTAAAACTATCCAGTCGTGTTATGATCTTTTCTGCTCAAAGTCACGCAATCATCAAATTTTAGTTTGCTATAGTACATAACGAAACTGAGAGACCAAATTTCTATAGATTCAGATATTTTGTAAAGAACTTTTACTTTTTAGCACAATTTGACGAATCTTTGTAACGAAGAATCGAAAGGAAAGCAGTAAGTAATCTAACGACTTCGTAGTAAGGAATGAAAAGAAGAAAAATTCTATTCTGTCGAGAAATTCTTTTCTTTATTTATCTGGGCCAAGTGCTGGTACCTTTCTGAAGGTTTGTTGCCGTTCAAAAAGACAGACACTTCATAAGAATGAAGGATGCCTCCCTCAACCTTACTCAAATCACTTTCTTAAACTGCAAAAGCTTCGTGGAAGTGGTCATTCCTTTTTGGTCAGAGCGCCACTATACAAATAGAATCTTGAATTGTTTTGCTAAACTATGATTGCACAACGATGTCTCGGTTTAAATGTTACTGATCTTTATGATTTTTTTTTTTTTTTTTTTTAAAGTTAAAAGTTGATTTTTATAAATGTATGGGCACCTTTATGCCGAAACATATTGTTACGAATTTTGTATTCAGATAGCTAATGTTAGTAGAATTATAATTAAAATTGTTTTGTTTCCCCTTGCAACGTAGCGAGAGACGAATTTTCAAGAGAAACCTACGCCGAAAAAGTAAAAATATAAGAGTACTTTCATTTAACATTAAATAAATGGATATCTCTTTTATTTGTATTGAAACTGAATAAATGTAATTGACTACTGTGTTAGCTATAACCGTAATTCCATCCTCCTGTTGGTTTCCAGAAATCTCGAGAAGCGGCCCCCTGTGAGGAATTTCTCGAAAGGGAAAAAAGGCGATCTTGGACGGTTAAATGAATAAATATGTAAAATGTTTAATTAAAAACTTAATTAATATTAAATTAAAATAAACTCTGTAATTTATTTTCTTATTTATTTTTGCTGATATGCTCTCGCAGTGTATGGATTTATGATTTAGTCTGATGCCGTTTTCTGAAAAACGCCTGAATATGTTGGATACAGTAATAGATGATGTTACTTTAGTTAATACATAATTTTGTCTGATATTATGTGTCTTTCGTTGCTGTGTCTCAAAGGTAGAGGCAAACCTATAGCTTCGTTTCCCATGTTAAAAAAAAATAAAAATTACTTTAAAAATTTTTATATTTTAGTTTCCCGTCTTAGCAAGAGTTAGTTTCTAAATTAGACTTAAACTGTTAAGTGACTGGACCCCCAAAATTAATATTTAATTTCCCCTCAGCTTCACATCTATTCAGCTTTACCAAACACCCTCACTACACACACCTGGATTGGATTGGATTATTCAATTATGGCAAAGCACACGAGGGCTATCTGCCTAAAGGGAGGGATGCCTTCGTGGAGGACTTTTCTAAGGGAAACTAGCTCGTATACACGTTACACATGGGGAAAACCACGAAAACGCCCATGCAGCCAGCCCGTTCGCGGGATTCGAACCTAACTACCAGTGTTCAGCGTCTTTACCGCTCGGCCGCACACACACCTGGAAGACACTATTTAATGTGAATGACAACAGCTTCCTCCCCTTTTGACTTCACTCATGGCCACAATCTTTTTTTTTTTTTTTTTTTTTTTTTTTCCTTTAGGAAAATTTTTTTATTTCTTTTCCTTTTCTTTCTATAAGCATTTTTTTTAATTACTTTTTTTCTCTCGATTACTTTTGGGCCATTTATTTTTAATTTTATTTTGCCCCATCTTTTCTTTCTGGCCTTTCGAACTCGTATAAAAATATACGAAGTTCCTTTTTACTCTCCTCTGAAATACGAAATTGCCCCCCGCCTTTCTATATACCTTTCCTTCGCACCTAAGCTTGATTTTTTTCCCCATCGGTGCAGAAAGACTTAGCGGGTGCAACACAAGACATCTGTCTACTTTGTCTGTCTGCCTGTCTTAATCTAGAGAAGCAAAGAAATTACTAGAACTTTCTTCTGACCGGTTAAAAGCTATAAATAGTCAGAGAGAGAACATCTCAGCTCAGTTGCTTCGTTATTGTTAATGCGAACGGAGATATCTGAATTAGCTTTCTCTTTCTCTTTGAACTGCGTTGTGTTTTAACGTTTTTAGTATTTTAAAGTACAGCTACTGGTTGTATTGCGTTTTATTTAAAGTATTCGCAATCTACTCATTATTGCTGCCTGATATTGTACACACTTGTACGAATACCTCTGAGGAAAATTCCAGCGTTTTGTTACATTTCCTGTGATAAGAATAAATTTTATTAACCTTTTATCGGACTTGTGCATTCAATATATTACGAAGCAATAGGCACGCAATAATATTTATGCCATTCATTATGCCCATGCTTCTTCTGAATATTATAAGCTACAAATTAAAATTTCGCGAAAATCTTAGAATAATAAATAAATATATATATATATTTTTTTTTAATCTAAAAGTTTTCCGATATTATATTTACGCACAAAGGGGCCGTTTTCTTAACGTTTCGTGTGTTATCTTTATATTAAATATCATGTTCTTCGCACTTAAACCGTAAAATTCAATTCAACAGCAATATCTCAAAATAATTTAAAAAGAGCAGATCTTTAGAATTTCCGATATACAGTCTCGCGTGCTGGAAATAAAATTGTTTTCTTTTTCCGTACAGAGTTGCCATTGCCGGCTTTTAAATCGTTGAGTTTGTTAATCAAACATTCGGTAAAGTTTTGCGAAGTATAAAATAGATAATAAAACAAATTCCAAATTTGGGCTTCAAGATGCCCATATTTGGGTGAAGAATTACGTTATTCAAAATTTGATGGCTCCAAATACCGTTGTTTAATCACAGTGCGTTAACATACATACATTTATGCAGATTCTGTATTATTTAATTTATTTAAATATAATACAGCTTTCTACTATTTGGTGGCAACAATTTGAAAAGCGATTCACCGTTTATCAATGCAAAATGCCAAAACGAAATTAATCAACGCAAAATGCCAAAAGGAGATCAATAGCCCATCTGGGTTAAAGCCCTTTGGGCTAATAAACAAATAAATAAATAAAGTAATAATATTATTATTTTTTCTTTTTTTTTTTTAGCTGGTTGGTAGGCCTATTTTGCCTCCATATTGGGGCCTAGGATTTCAGCTGTCTCGTTACGGATACAACAAACTCGAAAATGTCAGAGCCGTTGTAGAAAGAACCAGAGATGCAGGCATTATGCAGGTAAGAGTTTTGCTAAAATATGTACAGATTTTCTTTTCTTTTTCGTAATGACACAAGGTCTCGATTGTTAATGTACAAATTTTAAATTTCGAGCTTATTTTCTTCGTAACTTCAAATTTCTTGCTGATCATAACTTAACGGAGGATAAAATAATTACAAACAATAAATAATTTTTTAAAAAATAAAAGTAATCTTTAATTTATCTTGATGAAAGATATGATCTTAAAATTATCTTCGCGAGATCCAGAGGTTAACAAGCAAAATAAGTTATTCTCAGAACCACAAAAATACTTCCTCTTTCACTTCTGTACAGCTATATTACTGTACAGAACGTAGCATACAGAGAACTATATCAATCCGTCATTATTTATTGCACATATGCGTTGAAATTTTGTTAATTTTTACTTTACTCAAATGCATCTTTTACTTTCACTTTCATAAAGCTTTTTAACCGTATCAGACGCGTGTAATAGTGGATATTGATCAGTTCTCCAATCTTTTTTTCTATGAACAAATAAACATATGCTTGTTTGCATATATGGGTAATTTAAAACAAAAATATCGAATAACATTTCTTGAATTATGTCAGGAACGGCAGAAATCTTAACTTTTTCTCTCCCCCCCCATCATGGTTAATTTCTTCAAATTTCCACATTGATTTCAAATATTATCATTATAAAATATAGCAAACAATATTTACCAGACAGAACTAACGCACTATTTTAACTTTTTCCTTAGTATCAACGAACAAAATTTCTCGTAAGGTTTAGTACGTATTTTTACATGGTTTTATTCAACTGCTTCTCCGTCTGTTTGTCCACTTGGATCAACTTAAAATCAACTCGTAGCTTCCAACTTTTGGCTGGTATTCTTTGGTCATGAACTTGGAGTAACGGCTGCTCTTAATTATTTAAAATATCATGGCATGTTATCCCCTGCATCAAAAATAAGAATTTACAAGCAGCTAAATATAAAATAATTATTGGGTTGTGATATAATTTTAAGACAATATAAAAAATACTGACTGGTTGATAAAAAATGCTGACTGGATGACTAGAAATTTCCTCTATAAAATTTACAGCGATGTACAGTATTTGGCCGCCACCATTTTTAAAAGCGAGAACTGATTGGTCACAGTGTAGAGACATTAGGTATATTTTTAGAAGCAGACAAGATGAAAAATAGCAAACGCCTTCGCCGGGAATCGAACCACGGACCTCTAGAATACCGGCCCAGCGTGCAGAACCACTACACTACGAAGGCACGCTAGGAAAATGGGAGGTATACGTCTAATATACAAGAAATAAAAATAGTGCAGTTTCGGGTAAAACGGCTATTAAAATATCCCTCCTGTGACGTACACTGTTGCCAATTAAGTAATGTGTATCTGTTACCGTGAAAGACCGAAATTGGAGAATGTCGACTTTCACCGGAGAATATCAACATTCACCAAATACGTCGGTGAAAGACCGAATATTTCACTAAATTCTTGTATATTCGGACCCTCACCGGTGTATGTCGACAATCACAGATATGCTCTGGTGAAAGTCGAAAAGAGAGGTCATAAAGTGCCATAATAGTTTAAGTTGTTGCAATAAATAAGATTTGAATCACGTAATTTAGTAAGTTTTTTTATGACTGTTATTTTATTTTCTCATTTAGAACGTACGTATAATTAAGTAAGTTTTTAATTCTATTATTTTCCTTTCTCATTTGAATGTATTGTGTGTTTTAGGTTCTCGTGTTCTTAAGTTCTTATTTCAAGTCTCAAGTGCGTTTATTCGCGACTGAATGACGGAGAAGAAAATATAATATTGTTATATGTTCAACATTCACCATTAGTACATGGTGAATGTCGACATTGACCGGTGTAAGTCAGAAATAAGAGTATTTGGAAAATATTTCGGACATACACCAAGAGACTATGTGAATGTTGACATTCACCGGTGAAAGTCGACATTCTCTAGATTTCGGTGTTTCACCGTAACATATACATATATATTTCATGTTACTAGAAACTTTGTTTTCCCTTTCCTTAGGATGTGCAGTTCCTGGATATCGATCATATGGAAGGAAGGCGTGACTTCACATGGGACAACACCACCTTCGCGGGCTTGCCCGAGTACATCCAAGAGACAAAAGAAAAATATGGGTTGAAATGGATTATAATACTTGTAAGTAATTATATTGGAATATAGTAAGCCTATATCCATTTTGATAAGTACCACATCTACTGCCGAAAAAAAGCCAAATTTATAACAGATTAAGTTACTTAACTGATGTAAGAAGTTCCCAATTTTGACTTTTTTATAAAAATTTTATCATTTATCGATTCTAAAGTGTAAATAAAGCTTAAAAATTGTGCCAAGAATTAAAATATTTGATAATATAAGCTGAGGCATTATTTCTAGCCGAAAAGGGGCGTCAACCCAAATGGGCTATTAGGCTGCGTTCAGGCGGCGGCGTTAAGGGCATAAAATACGGGAATTCCATTCACACTTGCGAGAACGGGGTGTAAACCGTGGCCAATGAGAGAGGCTAAATTTGGGCATGCGTGGATGTGACTATAACTTTCCGGGGCTGTTCTCCTGCTCGATTGACTTCCCGCATTCGCTCTGCTTGTTTTGTAACAGAGAAATCTTCTGTAGAACGCCGCTTCGTTTTAGCTTCGCTCTGCTTGGTCGACGCTTATCCCAAACTCTGCGTAAAGTTGAAAACTTTGAACCCTATGCCAGGAGCCCTAAACCAGATTTTGTGACGTAGCACAGACTGGTTGCCTTGGCAACGGAGCTCGGCTTTAACCACTTATGCCCTTTACGCCCCCGTCTGAACGAAGCTTTAGTCTCAAAACGTGATTATTATAAACGGCGTATCACTTTTCAAACTGTTGCCACCAAATTATTTTCTCCCTGTATTTTTTTTTAAAGATACGAACTAATGAATTTGCATGAATGTATGAATGCTTGTGACAGCGTGAAAAAACGATGGTACCTAGAGCCATCACATTTTGAATAGCGTAGTCCTCCACCCGAATATGAGCACCTGGAAGTTCAAATTCTGAATTTCGAATTTGTTTTATTATTTTATATTTTGTAGAACTTTAATGAATTTTTGATTAAAACCTCAACGATTGGAAAGCGAACATGGTCAGCACTATACGGAATCTCCACCTCGCTAGAGTGTCTATCGAAAATTCTAAAGATATGCTGTTTTTAAATATCTGGTGACGTTGCTGTTGAATTGTATTTTATGTGGCCTAAATGCAAAAATCGTGGCATTTAATAAATAAGGTTTGATACACAAAACGTTAATAACAAAAAACATTTTTTGCTAGCCATCTTAGAGAAAACTGTGATATGGTGAACAGAGAAAAGAGTGAAAAAAATAGAAAAAAATATGGCAGCGCTACATCGAGAATTCTAAATTTTGTTAAATTGAATAAAAATTTTATAGCTTTGCTCTTGAATTTATGTGGCGTAAGTGTGAATAAAATTAGGCTTAATAATGAAGCTAAAAAGGCAAAACAAATGGGTTAGCCGGAGTGAGTGCCACAGTAGACTAAGTGGACTGTGATATCACCGTGAGCGTAAAAAAAACACTAACAAACTCTTGTGGGAAACCATTAAAAGTTGAAATTTCAGTTTTTTTAAAGTTTTCTAGTTATGTTATTACTAGAAAGCCCGGCGGTCATACGAAATGACCGCTGTTCTAGATATTATAAATTGTAATTAAAATGATTTGTGCAAAGGTGTCTGCTAATTTAAACTGAATTACCCAGGGCAGGCGGCGAGGACGCCCCTTTGCTTACTGCCCCAAGGGGTTTCCCCCTTCTACTTGCTTAATTGCTTAAAGTAGCGTACAATGAAGGAAACCACTGGCGGTACATTTCTTAAGAGCCACCGCTAGCTCAATAAATAAAAGGTAATTTAAATAATAAAATGCTAATTTACACGTCAAAGATCTCTTTGTACACAACATTTCTTGTGTACATCTTTCCATCATTTTTAAGCTCGCCTTGCAGAGGACCATCCAGTATTTTTAATTTTACATCGGTTCTTTCACGAACTCTTGAACAGGCAACATAAAGTTGACCGTGTCCAAATGCAGGCTCAGGTCAAAAAATGCCAACACGCTTAAGCGTTTGGCCCTGAGACTTATGGAAGGTCATAGCAAAGGCAAGTTTTACAAGAAATTGTCTACGTCTCAATTGAAACGGCAACCCTGTGCCGTGGCAACTTCAGCCTATTGGCTAGTACAGTTACGCAAGCAACCAATTAACTATCGGCGACAAACAGACACTTAAGCCGCATATATATATATATGGGGTGAAGTAACATCATCTCCTCCGAAACGGCTGGCTCTAGGGCTTAGCGAAGCACACCGTCGGATTCCGCAGGTCCGTGGCACGCCATTTTGACCCCATTCGCGTCTTCTTGGGACTTTAATTAGCCGAGATATTAATTAAAAACTAATTTTCCCCTACGTTTTCCCTACATTTTCCACTTTCTTTCTTGGGTTTTTCCTATTAGAGGGATTTTGACTACGTGCCAAATTCTTTTTCTCGAATATTTACGGAACGGCGCCGAGTTGAAATTCGAGACGCGTATACTCGGATTCCAAAAAGTTCTCCGAATCCATCGATACCGTTCTCATCTTCGTACGACTTTAATCGGTTGAGATATTAATTAAAAACTGCGGAAACGTTAATTTCCGCGCTCATTTTTCCGAGTGGCAACAATAAACTATCGGCGACATACACTTTAACCGCTTTATATATATAAAGATTATTATTATTATTGTCAGTGTTACTGCTATTCTTATTCTTATTTTCTTTGACAGGATCCAGCCATTGAAGTTAAAGCAAACTACAGTCCTTATGAGTCTGGAATTAATAATAACGTGTTTATCAAACGACCGACCATGTGGCCGGATTCGATATTTCCACCAGCAGTACAAGATCTGAATGTCACCTTCGGAAGAGTACGTGTTTTACGTTTTTAATTTCATATTTAGAAAGTACAGTATTTGCCGGCGTATAAGACCCACCGGCCTGTAAGATGCACCCTTTTTTTATATACATTTTTGAAGGATAAAACTTTATACTGATCATTATAATTCCACCAAATTATTATCATTTTCTCAGTTGGGGGGTGGCCTGAAATGCCTCCCTGAAGCCCTCTTCACATATTCTTTAGCATACGCAATCACACGTAGCTTGTATGCTATGTTATAGCAATGCCGACGTTGAGCCATAACTTATTGCCAACAAATTTATGATAATTGAACAGGTTCAGGTTCAGGTGGAAATGTAGTGGGACACCCAATGTTTACTATAAGTAATGTAGGTATAGTCCCACTACACTTTCGGTTTATTTTTAAAGTTAATATTCAAAATAGTACATAGTATAATATAACACTTAATATAACATAATATAACAGTATAAATAGTATATCGACATTTTGATTGATATCATATCTATTATAAGGTATTTATCCCACTTTCCTAGCGTCCTTCGTGGTGTAGTGGTTCTGCATGCTGGGCCGGTATTCCAGAGGTCCGTGGTTCGATTCCCGGCGAAGGCGGTTGCTATTTTTCCATCTCTCTGGCTTCCAAAAAATCCTAATGACTCTACACTATTAGATATAATTATAGTAGTTATAATAAGTATAATAATAGTAGGCCAACAGTCATAATTTATAACAGTTCATAATAGTTCCTTGAGATAAAGTTTATTATATGAATTTGTATCTTCTTCCTCTTCTTTTCCCTTTTTTTTTTTTACTATATCATTATTATTGCAAGGGTTATTTTAAGATAATTAGAAATAAAAGTTTTAGATGAATTGCAGCTTCAAAAATAAATTTTGACATTAATTACGTTAGTGCTCACAAAATTTTGCCTATTGAAGATGATTTGATTGTATTTTCTATTTATTTTGATGTTGTTGGTAATTGCAAACGCGGAAGGCATTGATATTGAATTAGGCAATTTAATATGAGCTGACTTTGTTAAAGGACATTGAGTAATATAATGGATTGGATCACAAAAACAGGAAAGTTTAAACGAACTCAGCTGTGATCGTTGATGACAGCGCATGCGCATTCACTGAACTCTACGTAACTGTAATATTCCCACACTCTAGGAGCAAACAAGAAAAAAAATCGCATAATTTCGAAGAGAGGAAATTTCTAGAAATGAATGTAATAAAAAAATAAGTATTGACGTATAAGACGTCTTATATCCCCCCAAATTATGGTGTATATATATATATATATATAACTATATACAGACTGTTTCGAAAATTTATGCAATAAGATATCTCTTGAACGGTAGGTTGTAGAACTACGAATCCAGTTTAAGATATTAATCGGTAAGGTAGGATTTCAGATTGTTCTACGTTTAGAATCATGCTGCCTTTGAATAAAGTTTTTCGAAATGTAAATGTTTGTACAGAGGAAGCAATTTCTTACTAGTAACTTGATCTTTAACCTATAAGATACTTTTTCTCCCGCTTTCTTAGCGTGCCTTCGTGGTGTAGTAGTTCTGCATGCTGGGCCGTTATTCCAGAGTTCCGTGGTTAGATTCCCGGCGAAGGCGTTGCGAATTTCCCACCTTTTCTGCTTCCAAAAATAAACCTAATGTCTCTACAGTGGCGCCCGAACTAAAAGGGTGTCGGATGAGGATTCCCCACACCCAGGATTTGGCGATGGGGTTCCCTAAAATCCCCAGTCGCTTTAAAAGGATAGTATATAAGGTATTTCTCCGCTTCTTAGCCCCTTCTGGGTTGTGTAGTGGTTCTGTCTGGGCCCGTATTCGAGGGTCGTTCGATTCCCGGCGAAGGCGGTTGCTAATTTTTCATCACTCCGGCCTCCAAAAAATCCTAATATCTTTACAAACCTAATAAAAATCTTCAAAAAAATTCACTTACATATTACCATACATCACAAAATTAGGCCAGGAAAAAACTGTCAGAATTACATTATTTAAATCACTTGTCCTGGCCCATCAGCGGCTCAGCGGTAAAAGCCGCTGAAGACTGGTAGTTCGATCCGGTGTTCGAGTCTCGGTGAACGGGCTGGCTGCATGGGCGTTTTCGTGGTTTTCCCCGTGTCTAAAGTGGATACGAGCCAAGTTTCCCTTAAAAGACTTCCACGGGGCATCCCTCCCTTTTTCGTGTAGTGCCTAAGGGCGAAACACATAAGAAGTTAAAAAAAAAATAAATCACTTGTTCTGATGGAACGAGAAAGCGTTGTAAAAATAAATATTATAGTAAATCAACATTTTTTGGAATTTAGTATTTCTACTAAAAATGGGTATTTGTAATCCACGTTCATGTTAGAATGTATTTTTAGAAGTCTGCATGAGAACTCTTGGAGGGTAAACAACACAAATAGTTTTAAAATGATAAGTGAAAACAAAAGAAATATTGATTCACACAAATATAAACTACGTCGAAAGTGGTACTTTTGCAGAAGTCATTAGCAGAAATGGAAAAGATCTTCTTTAGAAAGCTGAAGAAGCAGAGAATGTTCATTCATTCTTATGATGGCTGACGAAGGATGCAGTTGGTTATATGTATATTATACACTCAAGAGCCAAAACATTATGACCACCTGTCAATAACGAGTTGGGCCACCTTTCGCGCGCAACACAGCTTCAACCCGCCTTGGCATGGATGCCACAAGTCCTTGATAGATGGCCGGAGACAGATTGTACCAGATGTTGTAGCAACGGTCACGCAAATCCGAGATATTGCGAATTGGTGGTCTTTGACCTCTGAGCTGCCGTCCCATGATCCCAAGTGTCTATCGGATTGAGATCCGGTGAGTAGGGCCCGACATATTAACTGGAAATCAGCATCATGTTCCTGGAACTCTCCAACACAATTGTAGCCTTGTGACCGGGGCGTTGTCCTGTTGGAACATTCCATTCCAGCTGAAAAACAGAGGCCTTGTAAGAGTGCAACGGTCCGCAATGATGTTCAATACCCTGTAGATCATGGTTCTCTACCACAACCATGGGTCCCAAACTCCCAAGGAGAACGTCCCCCAAGCATAATCCGCCCCCACCGGCCTGTGTAGACCTACTGTGCATTGAGCCAACTGTTTGCCTGAAGACGCTATCCTGAAACGGCCATCGGCTATGAATGACAAATCGTGATTCTCTGACCAGGCCTCTCTCCCCACTGATCCATGGCCAGTCGCGATATTCCCGGGCCAGCGCAGGCGCAGTTGGCGTGACGCTGGTCAGAAGGCACGATGGGCTGCTGCGTAGCCCCAATCCACGGGTCCGCGAACAGTGTGCTCCGATCTTTTCTGGCCCAACAGCGGCCGAGCGGTAAAGACGCTGAAACTGGTAGTTCGGTCCGAGGTTCGAATCCCGCGAACGGGCTGGCTGCATGGGCGTTTTCGTGGTTTTCCCCATGTGTAACGTGTATACGAGCCAGTTTCCCTTAGAAAGTCCTCCACGAAAGGCATCCCTTCCCTAAGGGCAGATAGCCCTCGTGTTGCTTTGCCGTAATTAATACCAACCACCACCACACCGATACTTTCTACTTGCCCGCATGTATTCGGTGCCAGCGGAGCCACTTCTGCTCGGTTTGCTTCACATGCGAGATAATCTCCGACGACCTTTTTCTTTGATAGCGTGTGGACCTCCAACACCAGTCGTCTACTGCCGGTTCACCGTCATTCATCCCTTTTCATACGTACTAACAACTGTAGATCGCGAACACCCCAAGTCGTCAGTTTCGGAAATACTATTCCGAGCCTTCGAGCCATTACAATCTGCCCTATCAAAGTCGCTTGATCCGCAGCCTTTCTCATCAGACACAGAAGTAAGTGAAAGAATGATTCTTCAGACTCTCCAGGAGAAGTTAAATACTACTTCCACCTGATCACGTGCCTTCCACGTCATCCAGGCGCGTTCATCGCAAAATTTAGGACTGGTCATAATGTTTTGGCTCTTGAGTATATGTATCTGCAGAACAGTTTCTATGCAAAATCTAATGTTCCATTTGTTTGGAAATTTTTGTAGTGGTCCACATTTTTACAAGCATTATAACATGAGCAAAACGTTTCTTCTGGAAATCTACCACATTTGATTTGTTTCGTAAAATGGAACCATAGGCCTAGAATGTATTAGTCATGCAGTACTTTTGAAATATCTTGCATACTTATATATATATAATTTATATTTTAACAAAATTTCTATTTTTTACTTAAATATCTTTTTTATCACTCACATGAAGATTTCTATTGCTTTCGCAACTTTATGCTAACTAATGCTAATTATGTTCTTCTGCTAGATCTTTTAACGAGATATATGATGCAGATAACTGTTCATATGCAGATAATTCAGAAGCCAAACAACAAAAATCAGTGTTATATTTTCAAATTTTCACAAGACTAGTTTCGATGGTTTTACCGAACCACCATCGAAACTAGTCCTGTGAAAATGTGAAAATATAACGCTGATTTTTGTTGTATGACTTCTGAATTAGTATTTGTTCGGCGTGTTATTGTGTCTTAATGCAGATAATTGTTAATGAAAACGTAAATTTACTAGTTAGTAGAGTTTGCTGCAGAAAAAATTTTTCTCCCGCTGCGCACAGCAGTTGTTAATCCCTAGAAGAATGTTTTTAATAAAAAGTAATTAGAACTTCTAAAAGAGCTTCAGAATTCTTTTACAACGTTGGTTATAATAAATGACCTTGCTTGCCGTTTTCAGCATTTTAATACCAACGAAAACAGCATGAACTCTGTAGATAATACTACTCATCTCCCGCTATGACCAGGAAAGACATATCACTTGAAGTTTGGCGTTGATGAAATGTCTTCGTCAAATATCCTTTTACTTATAATAGTAGACACAAAGCATTGTACAAAGCACAAAGAGTTCTGGGATATTAATTAATTTGTTGGAAGTAGTAGTGGCGACATTTTTAGGCAAATTCTGGTTAATCTGAAACTTCACGATCACAAATAACGACAGTAATTTCACGATCACAGATAATGGCAGTAATTTTATGATCACAGATAACGGCAGCAAATAGCAGCAATAAATCTAGCGTTAGCCGTTTAAAAAACTTTAATTACGGATTACATGCAGTTAAAGATATATATATATAATTTATTTACTAAAGAATATTGATTATATTATCTTCTAAGATTAATTTTAGTAGAATTATCTATAGAGTGAATCATACTTAGCGTTCATTTGAAATATGTTTTTAAGTCACTTGAATGTAAATTGTTAAAAATGTTAACGGGACTTGAATAAATCTGAATCACAAAATTTCAAAGTAGAAGGAAATAAATTAAAGCAAGTAATTAATTAAATGCAGTATCATTGCATTAGTTACATTAAGGGAACAAACAATCCGTTAATGACAATAATTAGAAATAAATACGAGGCGTTTCGTCCTTTATTCGAGCAATATGCGGCCAAACCGGAATTCAAGCTGCAAACATTTCAGTGAAAAAGGATTAAGAACAATGTAAGACCAAAGAACGCATCCGATTAAGCATTAGCTAATTCAACTTTGATGAAAGCATTTCTGCTTAATTGATATTTCGCTCGGTAACTTTCCCGACCCCTCGTGTTTATGCATTTTATTTCAAAATTATTTTACAAATTAACTTAGAAATTGGCATTATGAACTTTAACTTATTAAATTTAAATTATTACTTTGTAAATTCGTAAATTAGAACTCAAGTAATTGAATAACATTAGAAAATTACAAAATAAAGAAAATAATGCAATCTTGCAAAAGAATCAAAAAATAAAAAATTTTTTTTTTTTTTTTTTTTTTTTTTTTAATATATAATAAGAAAAGAGAATGTACATGAATTAAGGCCGAAAAACTAGTTTAACTACGTTCTGTCATGGGGGTGGGCAAAGTGTTTTTCCGCGTCCGATCAGAAGGTTGTTTTCCAAATCTTTATCGGCAGCGGGGGCTGATTATATTCACTCTATAAGATAATTTACTAAAATTAACTAGGAGATAATATAATCGATATTCTAGTAAATAAATTATTATAACTTATTTCAGCATTGCGCAGTAGAGAATACTCGTTTTGCATAAATGACTTAAATATACAACATATTATATTATATATAAGGGGTGTCTCGGACACGTTTCAAAATTTCTAGCAGAAATAGAGTGCACCCCGGTGATTTGAAATCATGTAGCAATGCAGGGTCGAAAACGCTTTCCTGACGCGCTGGTGTACACAGAAACATCAGAAATTAAAATAAATATTTCGTTTAATATATTCGTTTTAATAGTAAATTCATATGATCAAAAGTAACACGAGTCAAAGATAGTGTTTGAAGTTTCGTCTAGCGACTTCAATGCACGTCTCACATCTACGGTGCATGGAATTTCGAATATTCTGGAATATTCCAGGCATATTTCGAATTTCCCCGGCAGCTCATCGATTTGTGCAAACGATGTACCTCTATTTATCTAAGAAATGCATACAAATTTTCAAATTTAATTGCCGTTTTCTTCAAAGCATGTTATTCATCTTACATCTGAATGAAAATATTTTTGTAAATTTAGGTATGGCCTCGAGATATAGTCGCTTTCCCAGATTTCTTTTTAAAAAGTGCTAAACAGTGGTGGATAAATCAAATTGTGGAACACTACTCGAAGATACCATTTGACGGGTTATGGATAGTGAGTAAGCTTTCTTCTTTTTCTTAATAGTGAGTGAGTGAGTGAGTGAGAGATTATGGCGCAAAACCAAAGTTGATTATAGTGCGCCAAACGCGAGATAGGGTGAGTACAATTGATGTCTTTTTCTTAATAACTTTATTCTATGGAAATAAGATGTCTGTCTTCAATTTTAAAGGAACTAAAAAAATTTACGAACGTTGATTTCATACTAATTAACCCTCCGTATTCCTTCAAAATCTAGTATTTTCCTGCAAATTTTTGACTTAACATTAAAGGCATTTTCTATTTATCATACAGTTTTTATTTACTAAACGAAAAGATTTATTACTGCAGTTAGATGGAATCTTTTTTAGCTATAATAAAAATCATCTGATTAAGGAATTAGAAACTATGTTAAAAACATACTAACGCAGCCACCTTGGCACTATTTAGTGATTTTTTACAGATGAAAAATGCAACTTCGCGATATTCGCTCCCCCCTTTTTACTTCCTTGTACGAAGTTAAAAGGAAATATTGTAATCGCGAAAAGCTTCAGACAGCATATTTCAACGAAAATACCCACTTTGAGCGCTTCGATGCAATTAACGATTTTTGCGTGATATAGTACTAAGGACAGAAATAAGACTCTTCCTCAAAAACTAAAAACTGTTTAAAATGAATTCAGAGAGATTTTCGTGGCGTCTGTACGAACGTAGTCGTAAGTTCTCGCTAACTCAAAACGAGTAGCCTCCGAACGATGAAATTTTATATATAGATCGATAACTTAGGTGTACCCGTATTGGTGCAATCGGCCCGCACCAAACATATATATATTTAGATATATCCCTCTGTGACCCGGTATGATCTCAGTTTCTTACTATTAATGTTATTAAATTGTTCATTTTTTCTTTAACATGATGAATTATGTTGTTTTTATCTTCGTTAAGGGTTTTATGCCTTTAGTAAATCGATGCAGATTTTTAGAGTTATCAACAATTTAAAAGTTGTTTAAGCCTAATATTGTTTTTATGGTGGCCATGTTGTCATTTGAACGCAAAGTAGGGATTTGTGCCAATCAGAAAACTTTTGCAACAAACAAAGATACGCCTTCATTTATATTTAATCATGCTTAATCCTTTCTGGAATTTTTTCGAGGAAATAAGGGAGATTTATTCGTAATTTTTAATACAGATATTGAGTTTTTATGTATTTTTGCCTTTCGGAAGTGAACACTGAATTATTAAATGGAAATACTCAATCGTCTGTGAAAAATTTGTTTCTTTTTTGTTTTGTTTATTAAATTCTTTTATAATAGTTCTAGCTTTATTAGTAATTTGAATAGAACATGTGGCAACGATTAGATAATTCGTTAAATGATATAAATTTGTGCATTCTGAGTTAAATGAACGAATATAATACTGTTAAGTCAACCTAGCGCCATAGGTCGCTATGGTAAACAAAGTAATTTTAAGAAGCATTTATCTATGTGGTTTCTGCGCTGTCGACGAAGTAGTTTAATTCAATCTAATAAGTTTAAATAAAAGCAAAAAAAAATGCGTGAAATTATATTCCGTACAAGGAAGTCATGTGGTGTACACATCAGATATGTTTAGAAAGATTCCCAGACTATCGATATTTATAGCAAGTCAGGAAATATTTTGAACATATGAAAAGAAAACATAATTTAGACATTTAAAATACAAATTTGAATTATTAAATACATTACATTGAATTATTAAATACAGTTGAATTATTAATACATACGTCATACATTAAAAATTTTTAAAAAAATATTCTACTTCAAACATTCTAATTGCTCTTCAAGTAATGCTACAAACTTTCTAATTGTAATTTTTTGGCGCTATTCCTATCCCGAAGTACACAGCGATTTGTTTTCGCTTAAAAAACATCAGAGAATTGCGGAGATTTGGTTTCATGGAATTTTCCGCAACAGCGACACTTCAGGAAACGCATTTACTCTTTGTTCCCTATAGAAAATTTTCAGCGACATTCTGTATTCTTGCAGAAATTTTACCTCTGTCTCTTCAGTTGTTAGCAAATTCCACAAGCTCATATTTTAAAATTAAGTTTAAAGCAATAAAATATCTCAACTTGTTTATAAAAACCTTTATAACTGGGAATACAACGAAAAAGAGCGCATACGAAAATTTAGGCATTGTTTGACTTGTTATGAGCATGGTTGCAGGAAGAATAATTACGCGCATGGTTGCCAGAGTTGGCACATCTGAATATTTGGCGACTTCTACTAAGGTGGTTGTTTTAATACGTAAGTACTGAAAATATTTATCCGCTTGGGTAAAAGAAACCCAAATGCGAAGGCACACTTTTTCCCCTAAACGTGCTCTTCAAAATGTGTTAAAAGTATTTAATTACGTTGATTATTGCCCCTTCTTAATGTTAATTTATTAATTTTTGAGGATTTTTTTCCCTGGCTTTTTTGAAATTTTAGGAGACTTCTATATAATTACCAGTCTAGTATTAAGAATTATTGCTGCATGACACTGAACCATCTCTTAGTAATAACGTCTCTCTAAGCAGCAATAATCAAGCATGTCTTACGAGGTTTTTGTCTTCTAACTTACGCTAATTTACATATTCCGGGAATGGATGCGGCTCAGAAACGTCAAATTTGATAGGATAGATCGATAGACTTAATCGATAGGCTTAACTAAGGTTATCTGCTAGTCAAAATTTAAATCAAGGCATTTTAGAATAGGAAACGAAAAAAATATTGTTAAATAAATTTTAAAGAAAAATTTGAAATTACAGGAAAGGGAACACGGCGGGGAAGCATTTTATAACGAACTCGGATTCAGATCACTGACATATTTATATTTACCACTAATTATAAAATGTGACGCTAGTGAAGCTAATTTCAGCTGTTAACTTATTTCTTCTAATAATGCATCTAACTGATATATTCAATTGATAATATGTATGAAAACAAAATATGAACAAAAGAATAATATATTACGAAAATGGTAGAAAATTATAATTTAATTTCTTAGTCTTTAACATGTAAACAAGAATTTTTTTTTTTTTTTTTTTTTTTTTTTTTTTGATGAAGTAAAGAAAGTATTGTAATCGCGATATAGTTTGGGTTTCATATTTCAACGGAAATACCCATTTTGATCGTTACCGAATTCATTTGGATGATTTTTTTGCTTAACATCTGTGCGCATACGCAGAATAAAGGACTCTTTTCTACAAAATGGATTTTTTTTGTGACGTCTGTACGTATGTATGTATGCAAATTTAATTATTAAATTTCTATTTATGATTATTTTCTAGGAAAAAGAATTGTAAATGTATTGTTAACTGAAATTAGGAAATGTTAAAACTTAAGAGGACTGTGATAAAACTATTAAAAATTTTTAATTAACTTAAAAGAAGTATAATATTTGTACTGGCATGCTTCAAAGATGTACATTTTAAAATAAAATAATAAAAAAAAAGAATGATGCATACATAAAAATAAAAGGTAGAACAATACACAAAAAAAAGTATGTAATTACTGTCGATTTCCTGGAACAGCGCTGACTTATCAAGGGAAATTAGCGCGCCTCCAAAAAATCCGCAATAATCACGTTTCATCTCCTTGTTATGTTTGAATGAATTCTTTTAGTTGCCAAAACTAATATATAAAATTAGGAAATAAATTAATATTATCCAAATATGAAGATAATTCCCTGATGTGATCGAAAAGGAACATATATACAAAAAGATTATTATAAAAACTGATGTGGAATTTAGAAGAATCAATTAAAAATCGACAGTGTAAAATCAGTGTAAGAATATTATGCAATTAAAATACACATATACACGCACCCTTATCCGGCCTAAGAGTTGTTAACCGGCCTTTATTTTCGCAATCGTTGGTTGTAGTCATATACTTCCAATTACAGAAGCGATTTAAACGACGAAAATATTCATTATTTGGCAATGTCAAATGTAAAAGAAAAAAAAAAAAAGAAAAAGAAAATCTGTAAGATTTCAGATTTTAAAATTACGTCCAAAGGGGCGTTTTTAAAACTTTTTTTTGTGTATGTGTTACCTCTATTTATTAAATACCATATTCTTTGCACTTAAACCATAAAATTCAGTTCAGTAGCAATGTCGCAAAATAATTTTAAAATGAGCATATCTTTAGAATTTCCGCTACACAGTTCCGCACCTGCTGGAGATAAAAAGGTTTCCCCCCCCCCGGCCGTAGAGTGTTGCCATTGCTCGCTTTTAAATCGTTAAGTTTGTTACTCAAAAATTCGTTAAAGTTTTACAAAATATGAAATCGATAATAAAAAATTCCAAATTTCAAATTTGGTCTTCCACATGCCATATTCGTAGGAGGATTAGTCATTCAAAATTCGATTGGCTCTATGTACCGTTGTTTTATCACAATGCGAGAAATGCATACTTTATGCAGATTTTTATTATTTAATTTTTTCAAATATAATCAGGACTCTAACTTTGGTGGCAACAGTTGAAAGCGAAACGAACATTTATAGTGATTCAGCGCAAAATCGCAAAACGAAAACAATAGTCCTTCAGGGACAAAGCCCCTTTGGAC